TTTTTTTGCCTGAAGATGCAGCCGCTGTACTTTGAAACACGTTGCGAGTTAATGTAGAATGTATTAGTGGATGTCTGATCCAGGCACTCAATGGTGTGTTTTACAGCATAATGAGTGAACTATATACATACATACATATATATATATATATATATATATATATATATATATCGGCACCTCAGCTAGCGGTGTGATATAGTCTCGGCAGCTGAGTGCGTCGTTAAGTTCTCGTGACGACGAAAACGGCGACGAGAATATGGATACATGTTAAAGGGAATGTTCCACATTTGAAAACCTTGAAGCAAGAGTGAGGCAAGGTGAAAAAAACATACTTTCTGATGGCTGTTGGTATGCCTAAAGTGCAAAAGTCCGCTCTAGAGAACACAACTATTGCATTTAGTAACTATGGTATTTAATACGTCACTGTTTGATTGCGTCATGGAACGTTTGTATGACGTTGAGGTGCTGCCATAGAAGCCGTACAAAACTGCCGCTCTAGCACTCACTTGAATTACTAAGTTCGCCGAGGGATCTCAGTGGTTGTGCTGGAAGTGTTCAACAAGCCGAATATTGTTATGCACTGGTGTTGTTTTCCTTTGTCATGGTGTTCTTGCACGCTATCCCGAATCTGAACGACGTTACTATGGCTGTATGCATGCGTGAATGGTCTTGGGGTAGTCCGCTCTTAATAGTCTGCACATTTTCACAGACGTGTAGCTCAGAGACAGGATTTTAGGTATTTAGAAGGGCAAGGCTGTGAAATCTACCGGATGATGCTCAATGTGGCTACTTCATTCCATAACGCCATGCAAATATGGAAAGCTCTCTTTAACTGATGGTACCGTGCAAAGTGCTTATAAAGCTTATCGTCTAAAACTGATTCTGAGAGGATTGCAATAATTTTAGAATTTCCTACTTGACTGACGGATTGACAGCGAACCCTTATGAAAAAATGATTGTCATATTGATTCCCTTTGCTACTCTCAGAAGAAGCGAGTGGCTTCTAGATTGTATAGTTATCGGCAGTCGATATTCGTGAGTTAATAGCCTCATGGCACCAATATTTCGAGGAAAGACCAAAAGTTTTAGGGTGCTCAAACAGATATATTTGTCCACCCTGCCATACCACTGGGTGGGCGCGATTGCCCGCTCTGCCCGCCCAGTGGCGCCGCCCGCGCCACACAGCCACAGCGAAAGAGCGACGCCCGGAGGTGATGCCATAAAGCGACGCAAGACCGACGGAAATTCATTTGCATTCCATTCAGTGGCATCCACGCCAAAATAATCGTAATCAATCATTAACTTGCAATCGGCTGGAGCTACCCTTACGCGCTGCTATCTTGACATGTTCCCAATCACAGTGGATAGCATGTCATGATAGTATAGCGTATCCGCGCCAATATCAGGTTTCAGATTTCTTAAACACATCCGCTGCAGATCCTAGCCATGATAAAACCGGCCCGCACATCCACGCATGCTGGAGAATAGCATGTTGCAGTTTTCCTACATCAGGGCTACACAAAATGCCTTGCGACATTTTGTTGCCCGCCAGCTTCCTAGTCCGAGCGTTTTCCCCACATATGTCAAAGCCATTTGAGATAACTAACAGTTGACACTGAAAGGAAGGTAAATGTCCGACGCGCAACTGATAAGCGGTGCATTGCATTCACAGATCATGTGTTACACACTCGATAATTCTCAGTGGCAAAAACTGTGTCGAGAACACGCTAAAGGTTGCAGTTACGTATGTCCCTGGACCACAGGATTTCTTCCCGGAACTGGTTCTTGGTTACTCAGTCCGGAATCAGGAATAACCTAGGAACCAGTTTGGAACTGAGCCGAACATCTGATAAGAGCCAGGGTCCGTCGCAATACGGTGCTGAGGGAACCGTCGAGAACCTGGGCCCAACTTGACTTCGAGAAATACAGCAACGTTCAAAATCCAGCCTCGGATATGCGCTGCAGTCCGGCAAAAATTAAGGCACAACCTATAAATATACCAGACATCCAGCAAGAACTAAGCCATATCCTGCAATATGACCAGAGGTTCGGCAAGAACCAATATCATACGTGGTATTGCGCAGAGAATCCAACAAGACATAAGGTGCGGTATAGATTTAAAGCAATCGCCAGAGCCGGGACCTTGCCGGACATTCCTGTCAGGAAAAAGTTCGTGTTCGCACATTGTACGCATGCACGTTGCACGGATAAATGTTATTGACTTGCCCGGCGCGTCAACTGCATTGGTTACTCGCGCCGATTCAGCGATGAGGTTCACCGGCCAGGGACTCGCGCCGATTCAGCGATGAGGTTCACCGGCCAGGGACTCGTGTCGATTAGAGAACCTCTGGGAACCAGACTCAGGCCCTGGTGTTTGTGGAAGAGCAAGTGGAAACTAGGAACCGATGTCTGGAGTTTAGAAAAGTACCACTGAGAACTAGGAACCAGCAGCGGGAGTTCACTAGGAACTAACAAAATCCAGAAGCTAGGGACAAGTGTCCATCAAAATTACAAGCCGGAGAGCATCCAGAGGTTCGTTTTTAGGAAGGCAAGGGAGCAGCGGGAACCGGCATTGCAAACCAGACACTTCACCACTGCCTGCTTGAAATTGTATGGATCGATGGTTTCTACGTTCCCACCAAACCAGAACTCCATCAAGAGGGCTCGGAAAGCTCACTTACATCTGGCACAAGCGTAGGGGCTGTGCCAGACAAGGCCGAGGTGACGGACGGCTCGTCTTGGCTTGCTTCCTGCTGAAGTACATGTCATGGACAGCAACAGCTTTTCGTTCCTGGTTTGGTCCTCATCAGAGGAAATCCTAATCCAAACAGACTTCGAGTGTCAGACGAAGTTTTAACTTTATCCTAGGCCTCATCAGGAAGGCCTTGTCTCTGTCGCAAAATTTCACAATTACAAGGCAAACAACACAAAATGTGATCATAGGCAATGCACTAATGCGAACAAAATCGGGAAATACAGGCTGCGAGCAATTCCAGCTATCTCAGTAGCACACACCCATAGATGCATACAAGTCGTGGAAGGGAAATATGACGCATAAACTTAAATATCTATGTAAGCAAATACTATGCATATATAAAAATGTAACCAGCTATCTACCACAGCCCTCATTAGTAGGTAAAGAAGGGAGATTAAGAATGAAGAAGGAATACGGTATTCTGCAGCCCAGTCATCTCTGAAATTAAACCGAGCGCACAACTACTCCACCAGCCGAAGCCAGAGTACCAAGAAGCTTCACTCAACACAGCTCCACCAACTCCAGTAATCTGCATTTCCGTCCAAACCCGCTCCAACCCAACCACTTTCAGGTCATCTCAGGAGTAGCCAGATGTGAGGAAACGTCTTCGCACGGTCAGATCAGCTGTGCTTTATGTTGGTCGCGTAGAGGAAAGGAGGACCCGTACGTGTGCAAAAATACTGCTCCTCCGGTCTCCCCGACAAAGATGTTTTAGATAGTTCCGAAAACCCCTTTCTTACAGTTGGTGACCCTGGCACCCAATTGCCTATGCAGGTAGGTAAAAGCGATGATGGCTTTTGTTATTTTAAGGGTGTTTGGGTCAAGTACCAGAATAGCACTACCTGCCCTGCTAGTGTAAGCAGCTATGGTCTATCATGACAGGAAAAAGAAACCCACAAACGATATCGGAATTTCAAAAGGCACGCCGCATTGTCACCATAACCTTAATATGATATCACCAAGTCATTATCGCTAGACTTCAAGTGGCGTAGTCAGGTGAAGTACGCAAATTTTGAAAATTGGACTATAGCGATGAAATGAGCGTCGAATGAGCGTCGAGCGGCTTGAGCGTCGCTGGCTTTAGACGCGCGGTTTGGTAGTGCCGGAGATCGAGGTCCAGTTCCAGCCTAGAATGTCCAGACTCAAAACGCCTACATTTGCAAAGGTGACCGATCTAATCTGTTCTTTTTATCATTTCTGACGCCTTAATCACTTTTAAGAGGAAATTTATTTCATTGCACCTGAAAAAGATGCACCTGAAAATCTATAGCATTCTTGCGTTGCCCGAGTGGAGCATTCATAATCCTGTCTAGTAGCTTGCGAAGAACAGGATAGCACCTGACATCTGGGGCAAACAAGGCCGTATGAAGAACGCAACAATCAACATTACCTAGTCAACGATGCGCTTAGGTTTATGTTTATCGGAAATGGGATGCTTGTGCCTGGTTTCACCAAAAAAGTAAAACAGGCTTTTTCGAAAAATGACGGCTCAGGAAGTCCTGTTGTATTTTAATGGTAAAGACGATTACGAATGCATGCCGCTCTTACTTCTTTTACGGTTGCCAAGTTTTGGGCTCCTATTATTTCAGGGAACATATATATTACTACGGCCAAATTCCACATGTCTGAGGCCAACACAACACTGAGGAAGGGGGCAGCTCGACGTGTTGGTCGCCGTGGCTCCTACAAAGACATACAACATTCCACCCCTTCAGAATAACTGCCGAGAAGCGTGGAATGACATTGAGCAGCCGAGGTGGCGAGCGCGCACTCTGACGTTTACAGTGCGAAGAGCTTTTATTGGGGGCTAAACGCATAGTGCGTTCGGCTTGCTAGTTCTTCGGCGTTGTAACAATCGCGTCAGACATGTAGCGTTCGGTGTGAGATTTCGTGCTCTTACGCGGTTTATCAACATGCGTTTACACGCTTCCGACAACATCGGATCTGTCTGAGGTGGTGAGAAAAGGTCCCCTAACGTTCCGAAAGTTGTGGGGGACACGTCCCCCATGTCCCCCACGTTGCAATCGTCTGTGGGCGCTGAGTTCCAACATCTAGAAGCACCGTGAACCTCCACAAGTAGCATGTTACGAGTCACGATCACCGCGACTGATAAAGTGATACACCGCACCTCCGTTGTTAGTCTCCTCGCATAAAGCTGATCAAGTAATGCTTCGCTCTTTTTGCTTCCAAATTGGTTGCGATGCTGTAACGAATTTGACGCAGATGAACCAGTCCTGGAGTGAATCGTGCCGCAAACCTTATACCTTACACCTGCTTTGTTTTGTTGGGTTTTGCAGCGTACGTGGGGTTCATGCTCATACATTAGTTGTCAGCATCATTTTTGACCGTGAGTATTGTTTCACGAGCGGACTTCCCACCGATGGTCAGGGAATCATCTAGGGATGTCGACTCACATTCATGTCTAATGTTAGTGGATGCCGGCCGGAGACAGCTTTTTGATCCGTCAAACCATCGTGCCTGACCCGGCATTAGCCCACGAAATTTTACTGGATGTGGTTCATGCCTGACATACTCTTGCGAGCCGAAATTTTTTTAGATGTTACATGGTGGATTTCACGTGTGATAAAGGCTCTGCAATGGGGCCTCTCTTAAAGAGAGAGGCTCGAGAACCCATGTTGATGTTGGTGCACCCCCAAAAACTCGTTAGATAGACCAAACAGTATTGCTTTTCAGGGGAGCTGTGATGCACCCAAACACTTCCACCTTCATTCATTCACATTCCCATTGCATGTTGAAGCACTTAATCAGATCTCTGTGTCCTGAAACACTTCCTATAGTGTGCCACTGGCCCTGACTGCAAAAATACATCCGATGTTGGTCAAGCCTAGCATAGTAGTAGCACGGTGAAAGTTTCAGCACACACACGTAGTTAACCCTTACACTCAGAGTTTGGCTCACATTGGACACCAATTGTAGAGCATAGATGTTTCAAGAAATATTGATGTTGCAAATGTAATGTTGCCCAAAAATACTAAATTGATATTTTTCAACAACAAATCCTGTGAGAATTGAGTACAATTGGGTCTGGCCTGAGCTTCGCACACTCCACTGCCTGTCCAGTTCACTGGTGATATGCAAGATCTGGAGCAATTAATGGATTTGTTTGCAGACTAGCCACTGGCCATGGCCCTGGTTACATCCAGATGGATATGATCTTAAGGTTGGCATGAGATAAAAAGGCTATTTTTATATGATTGGATATACATATATATTAACAAGATTTTTATGATGTGCCTCAATTTTGAAGATTATCAGATTGTAACTCTTATTTTTCAAAGCCAGAAGTAATGATGTCTTTTCTTAAAATATCTACTTTGCATTGTGAACACCACTGTCAGCATTATCACTTGGTAACAGACTGGTGATTGCCCTTGCATGATATTGGTAGGCTTGGTAGATTGATTGTTCTCAAAATGCTGGCTGGAAAGTGATTTGGCTCACCTGTGGTGTGGTCTGGTGACTGAAAATCACATTGTGGTACAATCCAAGGCCTTTATTTTGTGCTTTTGTGTGATGAAATTCAGTCTAGGATTAGCAGCAAATGGCTGAAGTCAAGGCAAATGATCTTCACATCACCTTCAAGGCCGGTTTCATTCCTCTCCCCAAAAAAGTGTGTAGTCATAAATGCCAACAACCATATCACAATCACACATCACCCCACTGATAACATGAATGCTTTCTCTGGAGCTCAGTCCTCCCAGAGGTCTGATCTGAATAAACCGGAAGATGATGTACTGAGGTTTATGCAGCAACTGCTTCTGAATGAGCAGGCATTAGAGCACTTTTCTGGCAGGTTTTGGGGGCATGCTGTAAACAACACATTGAATAGTCATGTGTTACTTATCTGACTTATCTTATCACAAATGCTTATCTTGCTTATCACAAATCACAAATGCTTGCTGCAGATATTTTAAGTTTTATAGCTGCAGTGCTGAGTGATTGTAAACAGTGTTTTGTCTAGGACTGTGTCCTGTGTATGTGTAATTATCCTGAGTAAACCCATTGTCGCCATGCTTATGTCATGTACCACATATGTTCAATAAAGCCAACATTCTGTAGCCATTATCCATGTCTGTTTTGCATTTTTGTGTGCAATGTCACATACTTTTGTTTTAAAATGCTTAACTGTTTTATTGACTAAAGCTGTAACAAGCTTGAGAAATTTGCAGTTACCATTTATCTTCTTTAAACTAGACCATACCTAAGCTTCATAAACATTTAACATAGACCATGCATGCATGCTTTTTCATGTATGTCTGTTTCAGATCATCTGCAATTGAAACCTGCTGAGATAAATAATGGATGATGAAGAATATGGTTCAGACTCAAGTGATGAAGACTATAAGCCAGGAGGTGATGATGCATGATGGTGTGCTTTTCATTTTTGTGGCAAGCCTCTGACCTGGTATGCCTGGTGCTGCTGGCAAAGGGGATGGTTTGTATATACCACAGGCCATAAATCAAACCCAGAATAGTCAAGATGGAAAGATTGGACCTGTGCATAATGACTGATTTGGTAATTTTGATCCAATATTGATAGGATCAGATTAAATCATTATTCTCCCACCAAGGAGTGGTTATGTGTTTTTGGTTAGGCTGCATATGCAAAGCTCAAGTCAGCCCTGTACTTGAGTTTTTCCCATGTGTTGTACAGGGTTCAGATGGCAACACTGCATGGTTAACTCTGAGCAGAAACTAGCTAAAGGCAAACTCTCTGAAAATAATGTCATCTTTCCTGACATGATAAATTATTGCAGGTGAGTCTGATGTCAGTGAGGAGGAAGGCGAGGGGGATCCGGAAGAATTGGATGCTGTTCTGAAAGAGGCTGGGAAATCAGCACAAAAAGGCAAGAGGCAGAAAAGGCAGCCAAAGGGACCCAGGTATGTGTATGTGTGATGCTCCATTGGAAATTGGCACATGGGCATTTGCCCCTTGCTCTTGTAATGACTGCAATTGTGTTGCTTGTTGTATTCATGATATATTTGGAATAACCAATATCCAAATGTAAGAAGCTGATATTACAACAATGGTCATGATTACCTGATAAATTGTCATTGTATTCGAGATACATTTCGGATGGTTAATTTCCATGCATATATCTGTTATATCATGGCCATCTGTCACAAGCCTGTAAGAGGTCGTGGTTTCATGTTGTTCATCAGAAATCGTTTTTGATCACTGGGGGGACGTATGGTGACCACAGCATCAGGCATTGGGTTGGGCTCATCAGTAGATGGGTTTGTGTTTTCAGAAAGAAAAGGGCTTTGGTACTGGAGGGAGAAGAAGACACGACCCCAGAGACACATACCACAAAAACGGAACTTGAGGAAAGCATACAGGCCGAAAAACTGCAAAAGCAAGAGGAGAAAGAGAAGAAAAAAGCGGATGACCTGTTTGCTGGTGAGTAGGTTCGCCATTGAATGTTTATTGTCATCAGAAAGGATGGCTGACTGGTATGTTTAATGCAACATCTGGACATGTATAATACAGTTCTGATTGGTTGCGGATGCGGACTCAGGTACATCAGACTAGCCGTTATACAGCTTCTGCTACATCACACCACGCATACATTTGCGAGTCGTACTTCGGAGTGGCGTCAGCCCTGCCGGGGTCGACTCATGACATGCCACGTGGTGTTCCCAAACGGAAAATCTCGACTCATGACATGCCACGTGGTGTTCCCAAACGGAAAATCTCGACTCATGACATGCCACGTGGTGTTCCCAAACGGAAAATCTCGACTCATGACATGCCACGTGGTGTTCCCAAACGGAAAATCTCGACTCATGACATGCCACGTCGTGTTCTCACACGGAAACTCTCTGCGGGACTGTGCTGCCACCTGGCGCTGGCTTCCGCCGCGCTGACTCGTGGCGGGCCGTCAGACTTCATGCGTGACTGTGCTGCCACCTGGCGCCGGCTTCCGCCGCGCTGACTCGTGGCGGGCCGTCAGACTTCATGCGTGACTGTGCTGCCACCTGGCGCTGGCTTCCGCCGCGCTGACTCGTGGCGGGCCGTCAGACTTCATGCGGGACGTGAGCGGACCGAAGCCCCGGCCGAAGCCGACGGCCGGCGCCGGTCTGGGCGGCCTCGTGACGGCGGCCGGCGGCGGGGCAGCCTCGAAGCCGGCCCCGGAGGCCCTCACCTCGAAGCCGGCCCCGCCCGCCAAAGTCACCGTCACCAAGGTGTTCGACTTCGCCGGCGAGGCGGTCACGTGAGTCCCCCAGGTCGCTGGGGCTGCGTGCGGTTACGTGCCGGTTGCGCTTGGCGTTTGTGTGCTGGTGTATGGTGGCCGAGCTTAATGTCATAGTGTGTCTACGCCACACTGATATTTTCAGTTGAGCAGCGTCGCAAATTTAATGTTACAGTGTTTCCACGCACACTGACGTTTCTGATTGTTTGAAATGTCTAAGGCAGACAACGGCCATTATATTTCGTAGCATTCAGCAATACCACGTCTGCAACGTACAAGACTACTGGTAGTGGCGTCCTACAAACTCATCTTTACAAATGAGGACGTCATAGTGCCCGGGTCCGATACGAGCATGCCATACCCACCGTATATGATAGATATAATACCGTGTTCCAAGCGCACGCAACGCTGAACTTCGCATGCGTTCAGGCTGCAGGGATTGCAAGGGAAGTTGAAGATCTCACGGCATGGCATGCTCGGACATTGACGAACCGAGTTGTGGTTGCGCGCGATTTCACCCGGTTTGTTTGTTGTTGCAGCGTCACGAAGGACGTGGACGTTAGCAGCCGCGAGGCTAAGCGGGCGGCGACGGGCGGTACCGGCAGTTCACAGCCAAGTCCACAGATGGCAGTGCCGTCACGCCGAGGCGGCCTGGCCGGCCTGGTGAACAACCTTGGCAAGAAGCCAAAGATGAGCGTGCTGGAGAAGTCCCGGCTGGACTGGGTCGGCTTCAAGAAGGAGGAGAATCTGGAGGAAGAGCTGGATCGGCACAAACGCAGCAAAAACTCGTGAGAACCCATCTGGCTGTTGTATGCAGGGTGGATGGCCTCCTATGGACGTTTGTGTTCTTGTCTCGTGACACGGCTGAAGCATGCTTTGGGTGCTGCGCTGCTGTGTGCGCTCAAGACGTGCAGACAGTGAAATCGGAGAATTCGGTAGATATCCGAGAAGGTAAGCGACTATTTATCGCCAGTCGTACATGAATGTAAATCATCTGTCCGACGAACATCTGTCCGACGGACATCTGTCCGACGGACCAGCAGTCCTCAGCCGTAAAAAACTACGTCATGAACTACATTTGCAGTCAAGTCTAGAAGCGCTTCAGACCTGGCAACCGAAGGACCCGCGAGATGAAAAGCAGTTGGCAAGCGCATTCCATCACTGACGAACTCTGACAGTTTGGTACGCGGTGTTGCCTGCTGTGTGCAAAAGAGCGTATGTGCTGAGGATGCTGGTGTCCCGCAGCACCCACCGGTGGTCTGGCATGGTGCGTGCCGGTCTGACGGAACCCTGCATATGTCATCACCAGCCGCCGACAGGTGATGCGGCGCGGCGACGGTCATTCGCTCCAGGAGTGGCATCGCCCGTCCCGTCGCTGACGCTGCTGCGTTACAGGTTCCTGGACAAGCAGGAGTTTCTGCAGAGGGCTGACCAGCGCCAGTTCGAGCTGGAGAAGTCCGCGCGGGAGCGGAACCGACCGCCGAGATGAGGCTCAGCCGTGCCCCGGCGCCGACCGGGCCGGCCCCGTCCTCTCTGTGTCGTCATCCATCACCGCGCCGCCGCCCGGGCTGCGTGGGATCGGCGAGGCGCGCGTCTGCCGCCCCGTCCTCCGGACCGCCCCCGCTCGGACCGAGCAGTCGATGCCGTGCGGACCCAGCGGTCACACCGAGGCTACACACGTGGCGTGCGGCCATGACCTGAGCCCGCCAGCCTGGGGCGAGGGACTACTCCTGGGAGCGTGAGTCTCGTGTATGGCGGTCGGCGCCCCGTCACCGGTGGGGCTGGGACGTCTCTGATGCCTCCGCCGGGACAGGCGATCAATACAGACACGCACTCTCCGCACGCTGTATTTGTAACTTCGGAGCATAACACACGCCGGGTGAGGTTTCTAGACAACTCAGCGCTATTCAGCAACACAGGGTGACCAACAACAGCCAGGTATCGGGCAAAGGTGGGCGCCTGGTTGGTAAGCACGAGCGCCCGGTACGCACGGGTAATCAGCATCCCGACTGGTATCGGGGCAAAGGTGGGTGCCTGGGTGGCGAGCACGAGCGCCCGGTACGCACGGATGATCAGCATCCCGACTGCACTCCTCGCGGCGCTTCTGCGAGGGGAGTTCCTTTACAATGGCTTGGGACGGCACACCTGCCGACCCATGACCTTGGTGTTGACGCCATTTTCGTTTCGTGGGGGCAATGTCGACCAACACGCAGTGAAAGGGCACACTGTATTCCACACTACAGCACACATGCAAACTGGCCTGGTCCTGTGCTTACAAAACCGGGCTGAACAACGAACTAACTACTCACACCTCACACATCCGATGGGGCTAGAGTGGCTGAGCGCCTCCCTGGCCTCGGCATGGCCCGCCAGGCCAGGTCAGGTCAGCAGGTCCATTGAGAAGGCGGCGATCAGGTCGGTGCTCTGGGTGGCCTGCCGCTCTCGCTCCCGGTGGTACTGATCCGAGTAGTCCTACGTGACAGGTGTGGGAGTCAGCCTGGGAAGCAATCACTCTTTCCCTATCAACCTCAGTCGTCATCTTTCTCTGCCTCGATCCTCTCCTCTCTCACCTCCCGTCCTGTTTTCACTTTCTCTTCTGCTGCCCGCGAACTCGTCACTATATTTCCTTCTCTCCCTCCCTCCTCCCCCCTCCCTTTTTCCCTCCCTTCTCCCTCCCTCCCTTCCAAATCCTGCCTCTCCTTCTGCCCCCTCCCGCCCCTCTCCCTCCCTTCTTTCCTCCCTCCCTCCCTCCCTCCTCACTCCCCCTCACACCCTGCCTCCCGTCCTGCCCCCTCCCGCCCCTCCCCCTGCCTCCCTCCCTGCCTCCCCTTCTTCCCTCCTCCCTGCCTCTCTGCAATGCCACTGACCTTGAGCCGGTGGCCGAGGAAGACGGCCCTCTCCCGGCTCTTCTGCATGTACTCGATCGACATCAGCCAGCGGTGCTCCAAGCACTGGTCGCACGTCGGTCGCTTACTGGAACACGCACCATCAACAATGATATGCTTGTACGGTACACTGCGCAAAGTAACGATGTGTAGCACAACTTATTCCATACTCTAATGAATAAATAAAGTGTTTGATGTAAATATAAAAAGCCAATAAATGAACAGCTTGTGTGGTACATGCCAAGGGATGAGAACAGCGCTGGAAAAGACGTACAGGTTCTAGCCATGAAACAGCTCACTTTTAGCATGCCGAGGAAGAAAGGTATAACTTTGCGAAGACCTTGGCGAACATAATAATGGTACTGCCCAAGGAATGGGGGTGAAATGCCGTGGTACCCTCCAGCCATTTGGTAATACCCATACTGTGCATAAAACATTGTTACCCGGACACTTCGAACGGAAGCATCCCATTTCATTCAACACTGCTGTAAAACTTCCACCTGGCCACGAAACTGCGCACAAGGCACGTACCTGGGCGCCCGCTTGAAGAGCATCATCATGAAGCGCGTGGCTTCGTTGGTGATCTCCTTGTGGAGATGCTCGAAGCGGAAGCGCACGTAAAGGATGTTTTGGCGCGTCTCCTCATCCGTTTCGCCACAGAAGGGCGACACGCCCGACAGGAGCAGGTAGGTGATGACGCCCAGCGACCAGACGTCCGTCATCGGGAAAGCCGGCTCGTCGACCAGCAGCTCAGGCGCTGCGGCGGGCGTGGGCGTCGTCAACAACCGACCCCCTCATCGTGAGATTCGACCCTCTCGCCGTGAGATGCGGCCCTCTTACCGTGAGATTCGACCCTCTCGCCGTGAGATGCGGCCCTCTTACCGTGAGATCCGACACTCGCCGTGAGATGCGGCCCTCTTACCGTGAGATCCGACACTCGCCGTGAGATCCGGCCCTTTCACGGTGAGATTCGGCCCTCTCGCTGGCCAGCCGGCCCTCTCACCGACAGGCAGCGCAGGCGCAGAGAGGGACAGGCGTGGTCTAGATCGCGCACTGGACGAAAACCCGCGTAACCATGACCTGGCCTTGATCTAAAGATCTGCGTCGGGCCTCCCACCTTGAGGTGATGCCTCGAATGCTGCGCTCTGTCCCACAGCCGGTATCGCCATCCGTGCGCTGAAGCGGCCTCTCCGCCCCTGGCCTCACCGGTGTACTCGAGGTGGCCGGCTCGGCGCACCATACGGCCGAGCCGTGTCACGCGCTGTGCCGAGCCCAGGTCCACCAGCTTGACGCTCAGCCGCCGCTCCGATGCCAGCACCACGTTGTCGGGCTGCAGGTCCAGGTGCGCCACGCCGCGCCAGTGCAGGTACTGCAGGCCGTCCAGTACCTGCCCGGCCGCGCCGTCGGTCAGCGCGGCGGCGGTCCGGGCGGCGGCTGGGAGGTCAGACGTCGCGCCGCGTCGCCAGGTGGCGGTCATGCTCCGGGCAAGGGTATAGAGAGCAGACGCGTCTCTGTGGTGACAGACTGGCGTACGGCGCGATGCGTTGGGACGTACGGTGTGTGATGTGAGATTCGTGAAGCGTCATGTGACGTGACAGCTTCGGGGTGATGTGAGACCGGCAAGAAAATGGCAATGCGACGTGACGAATGACACTTCATCATGTCCAGGGGTCGTACGTCAAATCGAACGCACATTGCGACGATCGAATGGTGAACAAGGAAGCTCCCGGACCGGCGGAATGTGGCGCCCCTCACGAGGGAAGTGTCCGCTTCACGCACATCGGAGCCGGTACCGACCACTCATGCGCCTTGCCTGGTTGATGACGACAGCGACCATCTCCTCAGTGTACTCGTGCTGCTGCTGGAAGTAGTTGAGGACGTCCGGGCCCTCTAGGCTCTCCATCACCAGCACGTACTTGTTGTCCATTCTGCGCAGAGCGACGGCAGTTCAGCCATGGTCCGGACGCCGCCGACGCAGCGCGGGCCGATCGGCTGTGCGCACTTGCAGGGGTGAGAATTTTGGGAGGGATTTCGAACGAAGAAGGCGGTTTGTGAGCAGTGCCAGCTATGAGCTTTGAGCTGTAATGGTGTTTGGATGGACCTTTCACACATTGGAGAAGTCCATCCAAAGTTTTTCGTCACGTTCTTCCAAACACCTTTCATTTTTGAATTTTAATATCGCTCCTATGGTTGGTTGTTTTGCACGGAGTACAAGTTACTACCGCTACTTTCCGCATTGACATCAGGTAAGTTTCGCCCACGGATGGTGCAGCGGTGGTAGCCAGCCCGATCAAATCGCTCAAGGTATCACGTTTGCTTAATGTGAAAGCTCCCAAAGTTAGTACATGGCTGGCGAATAGGGGCTATTTGGAATAACACACAGAGGCCTTGATTTCGCGTTCGCATCTGGCTAAATGGCACACCTGTGACCCACAGTGGTCGTGCGATGCGACCATACGCCGCGCCTCTGACCTTGAGGCGTCGCACGGGGTCGTCATGCCGTGCGCTTCTGACCTAAAGGCGTCGTACAGGGTGACCATATGACGCGCCTCTGGCCTATAAGCGTCGTACAGGGCAACCATACGACGCGCCCCTGACCTGTAGGCGTCGTACAGGGCGGCGATCCTCTCGCTGCGCAGTGCACGGAGCGCCTCAAACTCGGCGGCGGCCGCCTCCTGGTGTTCCTCGGAGGCGTCCAGCAGCTTGGCCGTGCGGATGGTGCTGGTCTCGGTGTTGACACACATGGCCGCCAGGGAGAACCTCCCCCTGCGGCCGAACCGCTGGCCGTCACGCTACGGCCTCAGCGCAGCGGTGCTGCTGCCGCACGTTCACCGATGGCAGGTGCATCTTTGTGGGTGAGGCTGTGCGATTGGACTTCATACAACCAAAACAGGGGATGAACCCCCGGTTATTGTCATTATGAAATGGCAGTCCTTGTGTCTAAAATTATTGGTATATATATATATATATATATATATATATATATATATATATATATCAATATGCCGGAAGGTAGGGGCTGAACGACGCCATCAAATAGGCATTAGTCGGGTTGGTTCAAATTCCCATCCTATGATGTGCGGTGGCATGTAATTTAGTCACGTGGTGATTTTGTCCTGTCCGTGAATCTGGCACCGTATTACCAAAATGAGTAAGTGAAGTAGTGGGGAGCTAGCCATTGCTGAATGCGTTCGTAAGGCGTGCGTCAGAGTGACGTGACGTCAGTGACGTCATGCGTGTCAGAGTGACGTGACGTCAGTGACGTCACGTACTTCAGAGTGACATGAGCGGCGCGATGGTTCCGGCTTGCGTGGTCTGGGGCTCGTTATGTGCCGGAGCTGCGGCTATGCGGCGGGACCGCTCCGATTCATTCGTGCTGCCTGCTAGGATGTTGTCGTGTTCTGGAATCGATCCAAATACGGGTCGAATGTGAGTGGCGGGAGCCGAGCTGCTGACGCGGAGGGCGAGACCGACCTGTGAATCTCGGCCAGGAACGAGTAGGTCTCCTCGGGCGAGCCCGCGGTCAGGGTCACCGGGTGCTCCTCGGCCTCGTAGTCCAGGTCAGGCCGCGCCTCCAGGTCATCCGGCTCCCTGCCAGCTTCTGTCATCTGCTGCAGCAGCTTCTCCGCCTTGGTGCACTGCACGCTCCGGCTCCAGCCTGTGGCCGGCGTGGGGGGGGGGGGGGGGGGGGGGGGAGGGTAGAGGTGTGGCCCCGCTGTGCTGCCGGCCATGTCCGCGGCGGGTCATCAGGACTCAGCACTGGGGCTATATGGGGAGCACTGACGCCAAAGGCTTAATGTGACCTTCTCAGCTCGCTGTGGAAGTACACATACACTAGAACGCAAGAGCCGTTCGTAGTCCGCTTGTTTCCCTGCATTTTGCCGTGTAGGAGCTCGCGGAGGCCTCGGTCAGCATCTTCCGATCACATGAGGCGCAAACACACGGCGATGGTGGCCACCGTCACGCGCCGTGCCGTGGCCGCCAGACCCACCTGCCTTGCGGGTCCTGACTGTTGGAGTGGGCACGCTGTGCGGGCCCCAGCCGAACTTGTTGCGCGCGCTCAGTCGGAAGTGGTAGTTGGACTCGGGCTGGAGGTCGTGCACGCAGAAGAACTGGTGGGCGATGTTGTCCGCCACATCCGTCCAGCGGTGCTCGACTGGCGGCGCGGCGGCGCGGCGTCAGACCCTCCGCAGCAGACACGGGGCAGACCGCACGACAGGCACAGGTCAGACCCGCGTAACTGACAAAGGTCAGATCCGCGCAACTGACACAGGTCAGATCCGCGCAGCTGACACAGGTCAGATCCGCGCAACTGACACAGGTCAGACCCTCCGCAGCAGACACGGGGCAGATCGCACGACAGGCACAGGTCAGACCCGTGTAACTGACAAAGGTCAGATTCGCGCAACTGACACAGGTCAGACCCTCCGCAACTGACACAGGTCAGACCCGCGCGACAGGCACAGATCAGACCCGCGCAACTGACGAAGGTCAGATCCGCGCAATTGACACAGGTCAGACCCGCGCAACTGACACAGGTCAGACCCTCCGCAGCAGACACGGGGCAGACTGCACGACAGGCACAGGTCAGACCCGCGCAACTGACAAAGGTCAGATCCACACAACTGACAAAGGTCAGATCCGCGCAACTGACATAGGTCAGACCCTCCGCAACTGACACAGGTCAGACCCGCGCGACAGGCAGAGGTCAGACCCGCGCAACTGACACAGGTCAGATCCGCGCAACTGACATAGGTCAGACTCTCCGCAACTGACATAGGTCAGACCCGCCCGACAGGCAGAGGTCAGACCCGCGCAACTGGCACAGTTCAGACCCTCCGCAACTGACACAGGTCAGACCTTCCTCAGCGGACACGGGGCAGACCCGCGCGACGGACACAGGTCAGACTCGCGCAACTGACACAGGTCAGATCCGCGCAACGGACGCAGGTCAGACCCCACAGCTGGCCCACTGCGCGGGTCTGAGTGCACGGACAAGAGCTAGCAGCGCAATGTCGTAATTGTGTCACTGTGGCGCCTTTTGATGAACGACTTGCAAGAGCGTGGCCCATAATTGGATGGTTGATCATAAATCTAGACCCATATAGATCCTAAATGAGATTTTCATAGATATTCTAAACCTCTCGATCCATGCACGCAAGATGTGATCGCAAGCTTTGCTAAAGGACAACAGTCAGTAAGTCATGATGCACCTGAGTGCAGATAATGCCCGCGGACAGCACCACCCACGCGCGGCAACTTACTGAGCTGCTTGCACTGCAGGCCGTAGCCCAGAATGGGCGCGTGGCCGTTGTCAGCGGGTACCTTCCATCGGAGCAGTACCTCCTTGTCCGAGTAGTCGACCACGTCAGGCAGGTCGCACGATCCCGGCTCGTAGCCCATGTACAGACTGGGGGAAAGCGGAGCGCCGTGTCAGCCGCTGGCCGAACTCTCACAAGCCGCTGGTTGAACTCTCACAAGCCTCTGGCCGAGATCCCACAAACCGCTGGCAGAGCTCTCATAAACCGCCGGCCGAACTCTCACAAACCGCTGGTTGAACTCTCACAAGCCTCTGGCCGAGATCCCACAAACCGCTGGCAGAGCTCTCATAAACCGCTGGCAGAGCTCTCATAAACCGCTGGCCGAACTCTCACAAACCGCTGGTCGAACTCTCACAAGCCTCTGACCGAGCTCTCACAAACCGCCGGTCCAACTTTGACAAGCCGCTGGTCAAATTCTCACAAGCCGCCGGCCGATCTCTCACAAGCTGCAGTCAGTCTGTGCTCCTCCGATTTGTAAGCCTCAACACACCATACAATCAACGTTTACCTGGGTGAACATGGTCTAGAAGCGTTATAGATTGCAGCACGCGAAATGGATGTCGTAACCCCCGCCTGCTTAAGTGATAGAGATAGCAATTTTGGAAACAATATGTATGTTGAAGACATGATACTGCATTTCCATGAACACTACAGTATAATATGCAAACGCTAGTGCCCCGAGCAGCCAAATCATTCGATTTAATTATGATTTGATTTCCGTTTTATGTGAACTGGACTCTGAACTTTCAAGAAAAGGACATCAAATACAAAGTAAAGAAATTATTTGCCTTCAGTGCCAAACACACAGCTTGGAGAAGGAAAGAAAAGGCACAGAGATACCTGGCTATGGTTTTCCCATGGCCGGGTAGGGGAAAATCTCTATCTCATTTCACGGCACAGTGTGTCATTGTCACAGAGTGTTGGCCTACCCTTACAAAGAAGGGGCATGTTCAGATTACCTACCCTAGTAAGAGCACCCACATACCGGCACTTCGCCACGGTCTGCCCGACCATGTTGCGGGCGATCACTTTGTAGACGCCGTGGTCAAAGTCCTTGGCAGGCTGTAGCCTCAGTAGAGAGCGCCCCTTGCTGTCCTCCAGCAGCTTGATGCGCCTTGTCTCGCCGATCACCACGTCATTCCTGCCGCGAAAGTGGTGTGGGTTCACGAACTCATCATCAGGGGTAGTAGAGTCACAAGGTCATTCGGTTTGAGCGGGGGTTCAGGAATGTTAGAAATGTGGATGGCGGTGTGGGAGGAGTAGGAGTCCGCTTAATACATCGAGTATTGCGATACATCACCGGTGTTCGGTTTGCACTTTAATTAAAGAGTGGCCGCAGCACGCTCGGCCCCTTGTTTCAACACCTACGGTCGTGACAAAGTGAGCAGGCGAGGCCCTCCTCGTCGATGTGATATCATTGCATCGATAGAGGATAGCGAACTTAGCAGCCCTAGCGGTAGACGGTCATTAGGTCATAAGTTGTTGCCGTGGGGTGCAGGTATCACGTGAGGAGTCATATGTACCAATGATATACGAGATCAGAAAAACCCGGCTCGATTTTAGATGGTTTTTCTGTTTCGCGTTCAATGTTAAAACTGCTTTCAGCACAATATAGGCTATCAACTTCAAGTGTCCCGATCAGTTTTCAGCAGGAGATATCGATTCACTCTTCCGTCCGCACATCTTTATAGGCGCATGTTCGCCATATGTTCGAGCATTGTGTACGGTGTGTGTGCTCATCCGCATAGAGAAAAGAAAGCATTCAGCGCTCGGCATGGGCATATGTCTGTGCTAGATCTGTTGCAACTTTCCAGATCTGGCTGGGATACATTCGCCTAGCTCATTGCTATAAGCATCCAACATCAGATTGGAAGAACTCGGACAATGATGTTATCAAATCCTTTACACGGCTCGTGCTCCATAAATCGCGTCTTCATGAAAATCATATTTGTGCGCAAAAACGGCAATTGGGACGTGTGCTTGAAAGGCGTCATGCCGCTTTGTACAAACGAGCGGTCTTTTTGATCAATCTTGTTTTGTTTTATCTCTTAATCTTTTGAATCAGGGCGTTTAAACTAGGTGACCTTCCTGCCGCTGCCAACCTCGAGAAGAAAGTGGCCAAAATCCGTGAATAAACCTAATTGTATATTGGGGGCATATTGGTATATCGCATATGGTAAATTGGGGCAGGTTGTGTCAGTTTCTCACTGCTCAGGCACTACCATGTACCATGTGATATGGCATCAAACGTTATTTCTTTCTCCCAACTCATTTTGCAGAGCTAGTCCCCTGCTTGAGTTCTTATTTGTGCAGTTCCGAACGATTGTCCGCTTGTAAAACAGGCCTGACATCCCAGTGGGGTTCAAGTGGTGCCGAGCCAGATGCGGCCAGGCCATAGGGTGGCACTAGGGACCGGCATACGAGGAAAAAAGGTCTGTTATTGGTTCGCCTCTCAACTCTGACGAAAATGCATTTTGCCCCGCCGGCTTTGCATGCAAAGATCAGTGGAGGATATGGGGCCAGTGAAATGTACGGGACCAGTGGAGGATATGAGACGTATATGTCCCGCCGAATATCAAATGTTTTTACTACCCCTCCCCCAGTTCCAGAATGCCACATCCGCTACCGATTCTAAAATTAAAAGCCTAAACTAAATTATGAATTCGGGCTCACCATGGCCCCGTTATCACAAATCAAAATAATGTCAGGAATTCAAATGTTTTAGCTAGAACTTGAAAAATGTTCAGATTTACCCCAGTTATGCCGCCCTCTGTCCTCGGGCTTTCCAAATATTCGTCTTGACAGATAGCCCGTGCAGGCAAGGAGCCTCCGTTTGGAGCTTGGCCGGTCAAAAGCGTTCCAGCAGCTCGTGAGATCGCATCAGGCTGCACATGCCATCATCGTGGGATTCGGGACAGTTGACAGCGCTACAGCATCCGTATGTTAATCCTTCATTTCACGATGTCTTAATTTAAGCCAGCATTGTAAAACTCAACAGTGACAACAAACAAGAATTTCGATGAAGTCATTACGAGCGCTTCGAAAGCCTTTCCTTGATACACGATACGTTTTTAGGTCACCGGACCTGGGTGGCGGCTGCGTCCAGGCCTGTCTGTTCTCCATGATGGCTTTCTTTGTGATGCCGCTCTTACTTAGTCAGCGCGTTTGAACATCCGCGTAATTTTCATAAAGAATCACAAGAGAAGGTGAGCAACGTTTTGCCGATGAGAAATTATCCGAGTCATTCAGTTGTTTCGGGGAGGAAGCAGACATCCTGTTGCGCTTCGCTTTTCATACCTGAACCACTGAACGATGGGCTTCGGATTCCCCACGGCCAGGCATGAGAGTTCGCAGACTTCCCCGTCTTGGATGGCCATGTCGGACGGTTTCTCGCGCAAGAACGGCATCTGTGGCAAACACCGTGCAACTTTTACAGTCACCGTGACTCTGCAGAAACTCACAGCGTCAATGTGTATGCACCACGCGTCTACATCTTCCGCAGAATAACGAGCCAACCGTCGAGAGTAAAGAGATTACATACACAATACCAAGCGCAATGGACTCGGAGGCTGACTCGTGACCACATACTGAACCACAGCAAATCGTGCTGCAGAACCGTGACGCAATCTCAAACGAACCAACGAAATATAACGAAATCTAAAAAAAGTTCATAACACGAACACATCCGTCCACTTAATCGCAGTACTCAGCACCCAAACGAGCGTGCCTACACTGGTCACTTCAGCGTTGGCTGTAGGCCCCGCACCCTTGTTTCCGTCAGACTCGGCACGCACCTGCCCCTGCCGTTTCTTCTCCCGCACGGCGTCGGCCTCGGCCAGCGCCTTGGGGCGGGAGCCGAGCTCGTAACGCAGTCGGCGCGGCACGTAATGGCCGGCGTCGGCGCTGTACTTGTTGATGCGCGACTTGCGCTCGTCGTCGATCTCCTCGTCCATGATGTCCGTGAAACGACGCCGCTCGTGCAGCACCGGCAGCTGGCGGCCGGGGACATGCGGTCAGTCACAGTACGGGAAGCTGACGGTCGGGGGCGCACCATCAGTCAGCACGCTGACTGATGACGGCTGGTTGGTTGGTTGATGGATGATCAGAACGATAGTTGGAAATAGTTTTCCCTTCGATCACCGGCAGCTTACGGTCATGAGAGCGCAGCCAGCCACGTCGTCTACATCTGAACATGGAGAATGTTTGTAAATAGCCCAGGAAATTGCTTGCCCTCTAGATATTTGTAACAAATGTCAATAATCCGAAACACCCGTTGACATGCCTAGTGGCAGAGAGCGTCGTACGGCAGCTTATGATTTCTGATACAGTCCGACACAACCACGAGACAGTAATGCCGTCGCTCCGGATGATCAGGCTCGACAGAGCCGTGCCGTCGCTCCGGATTATCAGGGTCAAAAGAGCCGTGCCGTCGCTCCGGATGATCAGGCTCAACAGAGCCATGCCGTCGCTCCGGATTATCGGGGTCAAAAGAGCCGTGCCGTCGCTCCGGATGATCAGGTTCAACAAAGCCGTGCCGTCGCTCCGAATGATCAGTTTCAACAGAGCCGTGCCATCGCTCCGAATGATCAGGTTCAGCAGAGCCGTGCCGTCGCTCCGGATGATCAGGTTCAACAAAGCCGTGCGCCGTCTGCTATACATCTGTTACATGCAGCCCGGTTGGCTGATTGGTTCACCAACTTCAGTAACCAGCACGTAGGGGGAAAATATAGGACTTGCATGGGCCCTATCTCTATTTTGCTACTCCATCTGGTAATCAATGAAGTGTGTTCATGACCAACAGTTCAAAATATATGCCTGACGTTGGAAAGTCGTGTCTATTTTACCTTTGTCGTTCTCTCCTGGTGTAACCATCGATCATAATATGTCCGTGGGTTTAACAGATAGACGGCTGGATCAAAGGCGTCCAATGGCATCCGTCGTAAGTTTGATTGATGCCACAGCCGATCGTGTTCACTGGCAGCAAGCGAATTCAGAGTCGTAGGTATCACGAAGTGTGTAAGGACAAAGGAGCTTAACCTGCCAGAGCAGGCCGAATGGCGGTCTCGGAAAAAGCAAGCTGGGCTACTGTAAACAAATGGGAGTGGGGAAAGCAGAAATCAAAAACCGAAAATGGTGCTAAGCGGACACATCATAGCATTACCTGGCACCAGGCGGGCAATGCCGTGACAGGCTGTGCCGGCGCGGCGCCGCCCGCGCCCCCTACAGATGACGTCACTGAGCCACAGACGGAGCCGGCTCGGCTCGGGCAGGGCGGCTGCAGCCCCGGGGCATGGCCCGGCCCGGCGCTCTTCCAGCCGCCGGCAGTTTGTGGGTTAGTGACAGAGAGCATGCAGCGGCGAAATGAAACAGCACGTGTGAAAGCTGAATAGAGTCGGAATAGCAGGACCGAAAACAAGTACGCCATCGAGTAGAGAAGCGTTGAACGGAAGAAGGACAGTCTTGCAGCATAACATAGTGATAAAGCACAGCACAAAAAGGAGCTAGCGTGGAAAATAGCTATTCATCAATGATAACGCATATCTTCTAGATTATATGTTGTCTCACTCAGGTGACCGCGTTACGCCGAAGTGGTTGCGCGTTTCTGTTGCCTTTTGCCGCCCCGACATCGTTTGCTTAAAATCAACCAAAGGTTCTCCATGAAACAAAAAAGAAGTTTTACAATGCAGGCCATTCAGTACCATCAGTACCACTCAGGCGGGATGCCGTGCCTCTAAATCTGCTGGGTGGCCGCGCCTGCAGCTATTCTCACAGCGCAAATCGCACGTGGCCGTCTCCCAGTCTCACCAGCTTCCTATCTAAAGCTGGTGATGCTGATCGCTGACGGGAGCGGACACACAGCTGTCATGTATGCAGCCCCAGCCATGTAAGACGCTGTACGCCCGAGTCCCACAGCTGACACCCCCAGTTCCCCGAGCGAGGTGCCGGGCGCAGCTGGGACTCACAGTCCTGTCGTAGAGCGGCTCGTCGAAGCCCTTCTGGGCGAAGGTGGGCGAGCGTTCGGCCGCCACCTTGATGTATTCGCGCAGCCTGGAGGGCAGGCCAGTGTCGCGCAGCTGCAGCAGGTACGTGTCCGGACCCTGCTGGTAACTGGCGGAGGTGGTAACAGACGGAGCTGTAGGCCATGTCCGGCCACCGCTGGTAACGGCGGCGGGAGGTGGTAACAGACATAGCTGCAGCACACGCCAAGGTGCCGCTGGTAACTGCAGGAGGTAACAGACACAGCTGCAGCACACGCCAAGGTTCCGCTGGTAACTGCAGGAGGTACCAGACATAGCTGCAGCACACGCCAAGGCGTCGCTGGTAACTGCAGGAGGTAACAGACACAGCTGCAGCACACGCCAAGGTGCCGCTGGTAACTGCAGGAGGTACCAGACATAGCTGCAGCACACGCCAAGGTGCCGCTGGTAACTGCAGGAGGTACCAGACATAGCTGCAGCACACGCCAAGGTGCCGCTGGTAACTGCAGGAGGTACCAGACATAGCTGCAGCACACGTCTGGGCGCCATGGTAACGGTGGGAGGTGATAATGGACACAGCTATGGCACACCTCAGCGCATGGCTTAGAACAGTGCCAGGAGCTGAAAACATCAATGCTGTGGCTTTGGACTAAGTTGCTGTGCATTTGTAAGCCCTGTCAACAGCTTAAGGAAGAAACAATGGAACAAGCGGCGACAGTGGAGAAATATGGGATGCGAGAAGACAGTGGTGGCAGTAGCGATGCATGACCTGCGATAGCGTGGGCAAGGCATTCGTGACCCAGAACGATGGGGTCGAGGTGAGGGTGGCAGTGCTCCAGGCGAATACACAGCCAGGGCAAGGGCTGACACGGATGACGGCAGCGATGGCGGAACGCATCTCAACAGGCTGCCGCCCGACACCCGCGCGTCGCTCCAGCGCGCCGCTCGCCTCCCTTCCCCCTCCCGTCGTCCCCTCCAGACACCCCTTTCGTCGCCCCCTGCCGTCGTCCCTGCCGTTTCCCCTGCCGTCGCCCCTGCCACCGCCCCCGCGGCCACCCTCACTGGCTCTCGGTGCCGATCCAGTCCAGCTCGTCATCCAGCGGGTCCACTGGCTCGTCCTGCTCGGCGGCCGGCGGCGGGTTCTTATCGCGCCGCACCGGCTCCGGCGACGGCGGCGGCGTGTAGGCCACGTCCGGAGGGTACACCATGCCGCTGGGGTGGCTCATCGCCGAGCTCAGCGGCCGCCGCCGGAACCAGGTGCGGCATGAGGCGTTCCGGTACCACGCCCTGCGGTGACGCCAAATGTCAGAGATCGGCGGGAGGGAGAGAACGCGGCGCTGGTCTGAGTACGAGGAGAGGCGCTCAAGGAGCAGCCCTGCGCCTGCAGCCCCAGGAGGCCCTGTCGTCGCGGGGCCTGCGGAGGCTGGCCCAGCTTCGCGCTTCTCAAATTAGCATGCGGTTGTCACAAGAAGCCCAAGCTCGTCGGAACTGCAGTCAATGTCACGGCATACTCCATGCATTATGAAACATTTAATGCCCGCAGTATATTCAGCATTTGCGAACCTTTTACGAATCGCAAATCGTGGCTGAGGCGCTCACCTAAACTTCTCCATGTACGCCCTGAGCCGATCGGAGGGCGTGTCCTTGACCGAGGAGGGCGTGCGCTCTGCAAACTTCAGCCATGGATGCTTGAGCGCGGCACGCACGTCCAGCCGGCCGGCCGGCTGGAACACCAGCAGCTGCGAGATGAAGTCCTTGGCCTCTGCCGATATCTGCGAGAACGCCTCCAGGTCGTGCTGCATCTCACCTGACTGGATCCGCTTCAGAGTTTCGCAGTCCGTGTCGCCCCTGGCGGAGGGTGGTGATGGTTAGCAATGGGGCGGCAGTTGGTCATTGCAGTTACAAGGTCTTCAAATGGCTATCGCTGTGTCACCATAGGGCTACCTAATCGTCAACGTTGGACTATCAGTGGACCGGCATCAGGTTATCGCTGGGTGACCACGGGATCTCAGCTAACTCAAGACTGTGCCGCCGTTAGTAGCGCCGTGTCTCTGCTGGATCAGTGCCGGGTCAGTGCTGGATCACTATTGCGTCACCACTGGGTCACGTCGGTCCAACGCTGTGTCAACGCAGTCACTTCATGGTTCAAGGTCAGCACCGGGTCGGCGCCGGGTCGGCAACGGGCCTGCGCACGGTTAGCACAGGACTAACTCATGTGGGTATTGAGTTGCCACAGGGTTAGTAGAGGTCATTGCAGGGACTTGCAGGCCAGCATGCTAGACTTCAGTGTTACCTCCTGGGTCAGCGGAGGATCACCATGGGTCACCACGCGGTCATCGCTGCGTCTGCATAAGGTCACCGCTGCGATCCGTCATGTCCGCGAATGCGGTCAACCTTTGGTCCTTACAAGACTACAGATGCCAACGCTTCTTTCGTAATCGCATAAGCTCGGCCTCGCTTGCAACCATGACAAACAAGCTGACTCTCAAAAGGCTGTCCAGCATAACAATAAGTGATGTTAAGAGTGAGCACGTGACGGCGCGCGAGAGCACGCGTGTGCAAGCGCGCACGGGACGACATCTGCTGTGGTGCGCACCTAAAGGGGGAGGTGCCCGACAGCAGCAGGTAGGTGATGACGCCCACCGACCAGATATCGGCCGGCGGCCCCACACTCTCGCCGTTCACCACCTCCGGAGCCACGAACTCGGGCATACCTGCAGCAGATGCGAAACGTCACGTCACGCCTCACGCCACACAGTCACACCAAACACGTCACACAATGTGCGTCATGTGTTAAGCTAATATGTCACACTTGACATGCTACATAACGCATGCTCCATGCTACATGATGTACGCCGCATGTTCCATGTCACATGCTACACGCCACGTGCTACACGTCACATGCTATACGCTACATGTCACACACCACATGCTACATGCTACATGCTATATGTTATATGATGCATGCTACACGCCACATGCTACATGCCACAAGCTTCGTGGTATGAAGCATCGCACGCGACATGCCACACGCTACATGCCAATGGTAATGTAGTAAACATGCCAATAGTAATGTAGTAAATGGTAACAACAATCTTCTATGCCACGCACCACGCCTCACATGTTACCTGCCGCACGTCGCGTTTCACACTTCACATGCTTCATATTACAGGTCACATGTGCCAAGTGTTACAAGCTGCATGTCAAATGTCGCGTCTCACACGTCACGTGCCACCTAAGACAGGTCCCTTACTATCCGTGATACATCACCCACAACATCTCAAACGTCACATTTTAGAAGTCGCAGCCGCGATTACAAGCCACACGCAAGTCGTAACCGTGGCACATATCATCTCAAAACCACGTGTGAACCGTGCTAAAAGACGGGACATCAACGTCTCAGCTCATCAGACGAAGAAAATTCGGCAAACTTTAGAATTATGTTCACGCTACGCACAGGAGCTGGATATCGGGCCCGCAGAAAACTCAGCTGCGAGCACCAGATACGCCCGAAACCACCGACGTCGCCACCAGCGCCGCCGAAACAGACGGTAGTGTGATAAAACTATACCCACAGGCCGCCTCCTTCATCGCGCGCATGGTGATGCCCTTGATCGTCAGCAGTGCTTCCCGACCGCACGACGAGATACTGATGTCCGGTGGGTGACTGGCACGTGCACGGCCCGCGTCGCGCGGTGCTCTGGGCAGAGTAAGCAACTCCTGGTTTACCCTGTCATGGGCTGTGGTAAAGCCACTCCGTCAGCGATACTGATGTCCGGTGGGTGACTGGCACGTGCACGGCCCGCGTCGCGCGGTGCTCTGGGCAGAGTAAACAACTCCTGGTTTACCCTGTCATGGGCTGTGGTAAAGCCACTCCGTCAGCGATACTGATGTCCGGTGGGTGACTGGCACGTGCACGGCCCGCGTCGCGCGGTGCTCTGGGCAGAGTAAACAACTCCTGGTTTACCCTGTCATGGGCTGTGGTAAAGCCACTCCGTCAGCGATACTGATGTCCGGTGGGTGACTGGCACGTGCACGGCCCGCGTCGCGCGGTGCTCTGGGCAGAGTAAACAACTCCTGGTTTACCCTGTCATGGGCTGTGGTAAAGCCACTCCGTCAGCGATACTGATGTCCGGTGGGTGACTGGCACGTGCACGGCCCGCGTCGCGCGGTGCTCTGGGTAGAGTAAGCAACTCCTGGTTTACCCTGTCATGGGCTGTGGCAAAGCCACTCCGTCAGCGATACCGATGTCCGGTGGGTGACTGGCACGTGCACGGCCCGCGTCGCGCGGTGCTCTGGGCAGAGTAAGCAACTCCTGGTTTACCCTGTCATGGTCTGTGGTAAAGCCACTCCGTCAGCGATACCGATGTCCGGTGGGTGACTGGCACGTGCACGGCCCGCGTCGCGCGGTGCTCTGGGCAGAGTAAACAACTCCTGGTTTACCCTGTCATGGGCTGTGGTAAAGCCACTCCGTCAGCGAGGTTTCACCAAGAAAAAAGACCGGGTTTGGAAGTCTGTGGACTGCGATGAAACTGTGAGTTTGATGCTCAGTAAAAATATGCATTTACCTCATATCTGATTTTCAACCACATTTGATCTCAACACGCCTTTCCATTTAACGAAGTCCAAATCTGGTACTCCCCATGGTTAGATGTACGCATGATTGACAGGAATCCCATCTAAACCACACAGTCCGAGCCCGCGTCCCGTCGACTCCAGCTCAGATCCCGGGCTAGTCCTTATCACGTTTATCAAGTTCAAGTCTGAGCTTTGTGTTATAAGTCAGTAAGGCGCAACTTTGAGGCCAAACGACTTCAGCTTTACCATGCACGTAAATCCAATTCTGGATCGGACTCCCAGTGCGTTTGGTCTGAGTCTAAGTCCATATCCGCCAGCTACAAAGCCGTTTTCTCTTCATAGTGTGCTTTCTGGTCAAAAGTATTAGGTGCATGAGCAGCTAATGTTGTTCAACTCACATTTATGTCAACTGTGACTTTTTAAAAATGACAAGCGATGCATTGGGCTGGAAATGTACCATTGAAATGCTGACATATTTCTGCTTAATTCGGTGTTCGTCTGAGCAAGGTCTTGACTTGTTTTGGTGTCTATCTGGGTATGATTGTGAGCGCCGAGTTGTCAAAATCCATGATTTCAAAAATAATTTTGCTTTCGGGCTGCAGTTTTCGTGCAAAATTGCATTCCTTATTGCTTTTAACCTGTGAGATGGAATCCAATCCCGATTTATCAGCAAATGTATCAGCAATACATGAAGCAAGTGTGACCAATATATGAAGCAAGTGTGACCAATACATGAAGCAAGTGCGACCAATACATGAAGCAAGTGTGACCCATACATGAGGCAAGTGTGACCAGTACATGAAGCGCTCTAGGACCAATACCTGAAGCGCTCTAAGATGTGGGTGAGCGTCTCATGGATATTAAAAAACATTGTCACTCCTAAAAAAAAACTTGACCACCCCATTTGAGGTGGCAACAAACAGCCATGGGGCTCAGACATGTGATATCAGAAGCAGTGCCAGGCAATCATTCCGATTTACACGTACAGCGCTGTGACCAGTGGAAGACGACATTTCCGAAACAGCCCACGCGGTTCAGGGAAAACGACAGTGCGGACCCGGCACAAGGTGCGCTCATCTCTGAATAATTCAAAAAGGGGAGCTCTCGGATGCGGGTGACCACTCCACTTGTGCGTTATACCATCTGTGCGGTGGAAACAATGGCACAAAGCAAGATAATCATGATAACACCGTGACAGCGATGGCAACAAAGTGCCAATCAGCTTTACTTACAGCACACTGCTTCGTTACTTTGTAATTTTTCACCGAGCAGGCGTTTGCTGAGACAAAGAGCATTGGAAAAAGGGTTTTTATTTACATGTCTCGGGTAGGTGTTAATTTGATCCCCAAAAGTTTTGGCGGAATAATTTCCGAATGACTTAGCGCAGCCACGCCCAACTTTGCATAGCCGCAGGCAACTGAACAGCAAATATTTTGGTTTCATCTAATCTAGATGTACCCTGTAAGGTCGCTGACGTACGGCAGGTCAGTCAGACCGTGGCTGACAGCGAAGACAAGTTGTAGAGAAGCTTCCAATATCATGCGGCAATTGAGTGTTAGACGAGGTCATGCATCTCTGAAATGGCTTCTGATACAGAACGTCAGTTGACTTCAGGATTTAAACCAGTTCTAATGTGTGAAGGTCAAACCAAGGTCTAAGCCTATCGGGTTTTTACTCGAGAGCCTCCTGTATGGTGGTAGTTTCTGGTGCCCATTTATGATTTACTGGGACCGGATCGCAACACATATCTTTCATGGACGTTTTTATACATAAGAGTAGGTCACTGACTTAATATGACCCGGTTCAACATTTGTTTTAAGACCATGCCGCGTAGCGTCATCCTTGACGATGATCTAAATGCAGAATTCAAGACAATTTCGTAGTGTTTTTGATCGTCATGACCTTATAAAAGTCAAATAAAGTCACTGACCTTAAATGAGCCCAGTGACCTCTTGCTCCGAGCAGGTAGCTAGAGTCAAGGCGGTTTCGTAAGGAGGTCTGGGGAACTTTGACATCAATTAAGAATTTCACCTTGTTTGGCCCGGCACTCATGGGTAAAGTCTCAAATTTTGGCAAATGAGCGTTTACAAACAGGTCAATGAATCCTCTGAATTTAATGTCTCTAGCTTTCTCATTTCCTTAGATCTCGGGGATCAAATTGACCTTCACCCAAACGGAGGGTTTTCAACCGGCCATCCGGTTGCGTGTTAAAGGGAGTGTTCCACATTGAAAGATAGTGAAGCAAGCATCAGACGCGATGAAATAAGCACGCTGATAAAATAAGTGCACTTTTCACTAAGTATCAAATGCGATGAAATAAGCGCGCTTATAACTATAGATGTACTTTTAAGTGGAAAGGCTGCCCTAAACAACAACATTTTTTATTTAGTAAATACTCTTTTCATAAGTCATTGCTTGATTACATAACACAACGTCTGTATGACGTTGAGGTGCTGCCGACTAGTCCTGGACAGTTGGCATCATAGCATTCACTTTTAATACTTAACTCGCCGAGAGATGGTTGTAACGGCACTGGAAGCTTCGGCTGAGCCAAATATCCTGGCGTGCTTCTCTTCTGGGCCTTTTTCGTAGTGTTCTGGCATATTTATCCGCGCGTTTGAGATGCTAACTTGTGTGCACATTCTCAGCTATGACGCCATTTTCACGTTTTGCGATCATAGTGATCTTATTTCCGTAATAACCAGCAATCAGGTCCAATTTCTCACATTATGTAGTACAAAAAGCGGTTTTGATTGAATCTTGCACAGCCAGCATAGCACTGAATGAGAGCGAACTGACATCTGTTATGTCTGGAAATCGTGCTGACGAACGCCAGATCTGAACGACTCCACGATAACATTATTCTCGGCCTCAAATGCCACGTGGCCAATTGGGTAGCAGAATTCGAATGGCGTCATGGCGTCACGCATGCCTGTGTGACCTCGAAATAGTCTGCACATCTTTGCGGGCGTGTAGCTTAGAAACTAGGCGATCTAAGGTGGCAAGAAGGGCCGGGCTGTGATCTGCGCCAAATAATCTTCTATATTATTATTTCAGTTCAGTTCAAAACTTCATACATGTTTGACACACTCCTTTCAAAAGGATGTTATGATTTATGCACAACTTTCATCCAGAT